CTGCAGCTGGGGGGCTAATCATGTCTTTATCGTCCCTGTATTTCAGGGCAGAGCGGACAGACCTCTGCTGAGACCCCATTCATGTGCTTTTCCCTTTAGCAGAATCCAGGCCTTGGCCTACAGGCAATATGGAAGGTGGGAGGGGGGATGTTTCCCTCAGAAACCAAGGCACAGAAAACAGGTGCCCTGCAGAGCCCACCCGAGGGGTCTGCACAGACAACCGCTGTCCCCTAGGGAGCCGCCTCCACTCATCAACTGCTCCTGTTCCCTTGGGGCTTTGGTGATCTCCCTGTCTACATCAGAGATCTTAGGTTCCTCTGACCCTGAGAGCTATGGGATCAGCTCTCAGAAGAGAAACTGATCCGCATGCCTTCAGTGTGGCCCTGCTAACCCCTGGGGAAAGCCTGTGGGACTCCTCCCTCTGTAGCAGAATGCCCATCCTCAGGCTGCCTTGCTGTCCTGGTCCCCTTGTTTTCTTCATAGCACTTATTATCTCCACCCACCCCTCTTCCCTTGCTGGTTGTCTGTCTCTGCCTTTGCACACAGGGAGACGCCACCAGGGAGGGAGGCCCCACACGGACAGGCCCTCAATGAGCATTTGTTGAATGGATGAATGGGTGGATGACAGCAGATGGAGAGCACCAGGGTTCAGGGGGGACAGGCCATCCCAGACCTCCTTGGTTTGCATCCCAGGGCTCTGGGCAGAGTTGCTGGCTTGGGAGAGGCCTGCTGAGTCCCGACAGAGGGCGTTCAAGGCCAAGGCTGGCCCTGTCTGTTCCCTGACAAATGGCTAGCTGCAAGATTTATGAGTTGGAATTGCTACTCCTGTTTCATTTGGGCCTGAACTCTGAAGGCAGGGAAAGTACCAAGGAATGTGGTCTTTTCCCTTTCCCCAGACCAAGGCCTTCTCGAAAGTGCCGAGAGTGGAGAAAGGACTCCACAGGCAGGAGAGGAGAGAACATGGTCTCCAGGCTATCTGATGGAGTGGAAGGAGTGATGCCCACAGGATCCTTGCAATGGGCAGCAGGGCACCCAAAGACAGAGCTTTGTGTCAGGTGCAAGGGGTAACCCTGGCTGTCCCACTCTGCCCTTGCCCTGGCTTTTGGTTGCTTGGCCTCTAAAGTCTTTCCAGCATGCAGTGACCAACTCTAGCTCAAACTAAGCATGCTACCACTACCGCCTCAAAAGCCCCACCCAGCCAGCAGGGTGGGGTGTCTGAGGCACAGAAGACACCCCGAAATCCTCCCAGGTTCAGGGAATATAGGGCAACGGAGGCAAGTGGTAGGGGCTGGTGATGGGGAGTGACACAGGAAGCGAGGGTATAGGACAACAGAGGCTGGGGATGGGCGGTGAGGGGGTAAAACAGAAAGGGGGTTCAGGGCAATGGCAGGGGCCAGGGGGGTGTCCAACACACAGCTAGGAGCTTTATCCCAAAGGTGGGTTTTAGCACATTGGTAGGTGATACTTTTCAAAGGGAAAAATAGCTTGGGTTTGGGAAAGAGTTCACACAGGTCAGAACTGCTTTCCTCCAGTCTTGTGTGACCTGGATCTGTTCTACCCTGGATGGAAAGGCCAGCCATACCCATCACATGTCTAAATAGCACCCAAGCCAGAGCCTCAGCAGCCTCTGTGTCTGGACATGTACTTGGGACAGGGGAACACAGCTTTGGGCCTCGGTGCCTCTCTTGCATGTCAGTTGTAGACTTGTGTCTGCGGCCACCATGCTGCTGTCCCCTCAGAGCAACTGGTCCATGGGGCGTTGCTTTGGCCCCAGCTGCTCCCTCCCCTTTGTCTTCCTGACCCCTGCTGTGTAACAGGTGTCTAACCAATTAGGCCTCATCTTTCCAGGTCTTGGGTCATCCATGCTCCATGCACCTAGAATTATCAAGGCCAGCTTCCTCTGCCCTGCCTTCTGAGATCTCTGCCCTTCAGCTGGGCCGCTCCCAGTTCTGCCTCATTCCTGCCACCTCTTAGACAAATGTGAGAGCTCTGTCAATCCTAAGTGTTTTTGTGCTGAGAACAGAGAAGAGGACCTAAGAGACTTTGATAAATCTCAAAAAAAAAAAAAAAGGTGGTCTTGAACATGTGTCGTTGACCAGAGAGAGACCCATGAACCCAGGCATCCTTGGCTGAGTTCACAGGGCTGCTGGCTCCCGCTTCTCTGGATTTTCTTGACCTCAAGATACCTGGGTTCTAATTTGTCCTGAATATTGTATGTGGGTTCACAAGCTGCAGGAAGCCATGGAGCTGGTGGGATAGGGGCGGGGCGGGAGGCAGGGCAGAGAAACCAGCTGTCCAAGATGGTAGAAGCTGAGGCAGAGAACTGGATAAGTGTGTGTGTCAGCCATTGTGAGGCCTGGGACCTCCACAGGTTAGAGAAGACTTGGTGAGGGGCTTATGTAGTCTTGGCCAGAGGAGAGGAGTTTTCTAGGTGGGACAGACCACCTTCAAAGTATTTTCAAGGAAAGACACCCACCCCTGGAGGCTGTGACCCTGCCTGAGGCTCTGTACATAGTACCCAAGCCAGGAATGCCAGTTTTGTAGGGAATTGGGAAGTGGGTTTTGTAGAGTACAACATCACTACTGTCCTAGTTCCTGGGGGTCCATAGGCTTCGGAAGCTGCGTAAGTGAAAGTCAGAGGGTGTGGAACCCCGAAGGAAGGCTAAAAATAGTCACCAAGGCTAAACTCCCCTAAGGTGTTTGGGACTCTGGCAGTGTAGAAAGACCTCCCTCTGTTAGCTTAGTGGAGGCAGCAAAGAGACGAGAGCCTGCTTTGAGAAGCGGGATGGAGCCTGCCAAGCTGTCCCTAGCTGAGGAACTTGGAGGCCTGGAAGGGTGAGGTCGGTTGGCAGGTTCCTGGCAATCACAGCCTGGCTTTGAACTCAGCTTGGATGACAAACTTGCGGTCTGCTCACCTCACCTCCTTGTGAGAGGAATTGTGAAGACTGGGATGGCCGTGGCAGGCTGTGGCGCACACTGGAATTTTCGTGTGCTAGGGTTGGTACTGTGGGGATCAGTAATTAGCCAGTTTCCGCATCCAGTGCCACCCGAGAGCAAGTCCAGGAACTAAACCCTGATGGAGATGGGACAGGTGAAGGTAGGAACATAGAAGCCTCCACAGTTGTTCTAGAAACAGTGAGCGTGGCCAGGGAGAAGACCTCAATGTGCTCGCTACATTCCAAGAGGTGGCAACTTTGGCTTTGGTCCAGAAGGGAGGCTGAGCCCTGGGGTGGGGGTGGGGGTGGAGGTCCCATCAGGAGTTCACTAAGAACCAGACCAGGCCTAGCTGAGGCCCTGGTGGGGGAGAGAAGAGGAAACCCACTCTCCAGTGCAGCTTTGGGGTGGGGAAGGTATCCGGGCCAGGTGAGCTTGGGCGTGGCCACCTGCACAGTCAGGGTGAGGAAGTATTGTTTTCCTAACTGTGGTGGTTTGGATCTTAAATGTCCCTCAATGTCACATGTCTTAGAGGCTCTGTCCCAAGGACCCAAGTTTTCAGAGTTGGGGCACCTGGTTCCCGAGAAGTCTGCCCTCAGCCATGGATTAATCTACTGATGGACTCATAGTTTGCTGGGCTTGAGGAGGGCTGCCGTATAAAAGCAAGCCCTCTTTGCTTGACTCCCACAAAGCTTTGTGCCTCCTCGCCCTCCATTGCCATGATGACCTGGATCCCCACAGGCCTGTGAGGACAGGGCCAAGCCACCATGGGCTGAAACCTTTGAAACTTGAGCCAAAATAAATCTTTGCTCCTTTGTCAGGTCCCTCCACGTTACTCACGGTGTTCCCACATGCTAGAGACAGGACACAGAAGAGACTAGCCGCTGGGGGGGGGGATGGTATGGAGTAACCCTCCAGTGTGGAAGCCAGGTTAGAACAGGGGACATGCAGCCTGCTGAATACAAGCAGGCTTGCCTCTCAGGACAGAAGGGAGGGTCTCTCCCAAACCCAAGACGGTAATGAGCCCTGGTAGGAGAGACTCTTGTTACTATGTGGGGCAAATCAGGCTTAAGGCCATATTTTTTAAGCTGTATATCAAATAAAGATACAGCATTTTCTCTGCTTCCTGTGCTGGTTAAATGTTGGGACCCTGCCTGCCCTGGTAGCTGCTTTGGGGGCATCAGGAGACACAGGCTCTTCAGTTCTAAGAGACAACCCGGCCCCTATAGCTCCTGGTCTTTGGTGTCCTGGAGATATTCATTCTGAGCTACAGGAACACACTGCTGGTGAAACATGTAGCCTGGCCCCAGCATGCCTTGTCCTGAAAAGTTTCTGTCCTGCAAAATGGTATAAGATTGGCCAGACAGGGCTCTGCCTTCAAGGAGTGAGGTGGGCCTGGCAGCCCCTCCCTGGTGCTCCCCCAACCCTAAGGTCCTAGATGACCCTTGGAGGTGGGGTCAAGGGAGACCCTTACTTATTGGGGGTAGGGAGTCTCTGGCAGCCATTGTGGGTGACTAAGGAGACAGGAAGTCCCAACTGACCTGAAAGGGCAAAACCTAGGAAGATTCTATGGGGTTCTCAGGCCAGCAGGGTATTTCTGTCCCCAGAGGGCAGCCAGGATGTCCTAGGAGGGTGGGTGGAGATTTCCTCAAGGGCCTTCAGTGGTGAGACAGGCAGAGCAGCCTGTCTCCTGCTCTGTGGAGAGGGTCACTTGAGGCTAGGTGCAGCCTCCAGGGCCTTGAATATCTTTCTGCCATTCTTAGCATGTCACCTCGTGCTCACAATGTCCTAATGTATCTCTAGGCATCTTGCAGAGGAAAGGGACAGAAGCCTCGTGGAAAGGCAGAGCTCTTGTAGACCTAGAGCCTTCTTCTTGCATCTCGTCAGTCAGAGCTGACCCCAGGCCCAGCTCCCTGTGGGGCCACTGAAGGTGGCCAGGGAGGAGGAAGGGCCAGGCGTGCAGCGAGAACCTATCCCACACAGGGAGGGGGAAGGGCCAGGCCCTTCACACTGAGGGCTAGGTCTGGCCTCTACCTGCCTTTCTGAGATATAACAAGGGTGATGCCTAGGTGTTCAGGAACACCTGGAGGTTGGCAGTCAGCAGGGTGGCTGGTGTCTGCCATCACCAAGTGGCCATTTTTATTAAGAATTGTTAAGCAGGGCAGCACAGGTGTCGGGACAGACACAGAAGAGGGAACGGCAGAGAGAAAGGTGCCAGGTGTGAGACTTCCGGGGGGGCCGAGCAGTCTGCATCCAGACCTAAAGGGCCCACTAGATCAAGCCAGAGAAGAATCAGGATGGCAGTGGCCGGGCTGCGCAGGGTTTGCTGCAGAGCTAAGCGAGGCATGGACAAGAAGCTGCGGCTGGAGAGGAAGCGTGTTGCAGCAAGGCTGGAGCCCTGGATGGATGGAGAGTAAAGAGACAGAGAAGAGGCTGCAGTCGTTACAAAGGCAAGGAGGCTGCACTAGATAGGGCTCTCGAGGCAGAGCCAACAGAGTACACCTTAGAACGGTGGTTTACCCACCTGAAAGCCGGGGAGTCCGCTCCAAGAAGATGGAGGCCTCTGTGTCTCCAACACTGAGGCCTGAAGCTCCTTGGATCCAGAGCAAGCCAGAGTCTGAGTCCATGGGCAGGGAACGGATGGCAGCGCTGATGGGCACTCAGGAAAAGCAGAGCTATATGCTCAGGGAAGCTTCCTTTTCTTCCAACTTTTTTTCCATCCGGGCTGTGCCCCTTGGACAGTGCCGCTCACATTGAGGGCAGGTCTTCCCGCTCAGTCCTGTCCCACTCATCAATCCTCTCTGAAAATGCCTCCACAGACACACACTCAAGGCTTGTTTGTTGTACCTGTCCCAGGAGTCTGTCATTGCAGGCAAGTTGACAAAACCAAGACCAGCCAGCAGGAAAGACTAGGCCTGAGCTCAGAAAATAGGAAGGAGCCTGGGGAGCCTGGGGAGGCTAAAGATAGGTTGCAAAAGCTGAGTGGGACACTAGGAGGAGGCAGGGGAGGCCACACATACTACAGAGGCGGTGTGGCCCGAGGAGAGGACAGACAGGAAGCTTGACTGAGTCTGGCATGAAGATCCAGACACCTCCCTGGGATGCCACATGTGCAGAGACCATGACCAGAGACAAAAGTGTCCTGGCAGCCAGGACAGCAGGTGACAGACAGGGGAAAGACAAGCCTTTGCTTCCCTTTGGGCCGCCTTCCAGCCCCAGAAGGGCGCTCCCTCCTTGTCTTACTTTCTTTGCTGTTCCCACGGACACCCAGCCCCCATGTCCGTCCATCCCTGTCCCCCTTGCTCCCCCACCCCACCCCCATGCCCTGTCCTCCTGCCTCCTGCCCTGGCAAGGTCCTGTGGGCATTTCCAGATATGAGGTTTCAAGAATTGCTGGGGGAAGGCGGGAAATTTTTCCTCAGGTAACTCACAGGTCAGGCGGTCTCCATTTGTGGCAGAGGCTGACAGATTCCCTCATGAGCCAGAGAAGTTTGGGACAAACCCAGCAGACCCTGTCCAGGACCAGGGTTTCTCTAAGATGCCCCTGTAGCCTTTGTGCCCCAAACAAGGGTCTTCCCATCAGTGATGGGGGTGGGGGACAGGTAGAGGTTTAGAAATTTAGTATTGTATCTGTCCCAGACAGCAAAAGGGAGGGGCTACCTCTGAGCTCCTGGTTCAGGGCAGTTCGTTGCATGTCCCTGTCCACGGTGAGCACTGGCCCTGCCGGATTCCTCTTAAGAAATCCCCTCCTTGTAAACTAATCCAAGTGCTTTCATTCAGGTCCATGTGTGGTTTGGTGGGGCCGTGGACAGAGGCTCCCCACTGGCTCTGTGGATGGATAGCTCCACAGGCTGTAGCCTGGGACTGGGGTTGAGGCAGACAGGAGCCCTGAGCAGAGCCAGAGCCCATGGTGTGTACCAGGCAGAAACTGGAGGCTGAGGGGCCAGGCAGGCAGGCAGGCAGGGAGGGACTGCTCTAGTTTCCTCACCTATAAAATCAGGGTAACCAGTCATTTGTTCACAAGTTCACTCAGCAGAGGCAATATCTCGTGAAGCAGGACGACACGGCATGCCTACGGCCTGGGGACTCACAAGCAGGGACAGGGAAGAGCTCATGTTCCTGTGCCGGATGTCCAGCTGAGAGGGACGGCGAGGGACACAAATTAATGCACAGCTAATTAATATGACATCCAAGAGCTTGGGCATGGCACAGGAAAGAGGGTGACAAGACAATGTGACGGGGTGACAGAAGGAGGCAGCTGTTGTCTTGGAGCTTAGTCAGGCTTCCTGCAGGCTGAAGTGGACCAGGAGGAGGAGGAGGAGGCGCAGCCATGTGCGTGTGAGAGAAGCAGCCTGGCAGAGGGGACAGCGAGCCTCGGCCTAGCTGCCTGGCTACCGCAGGCCATGCTAGAGGCAGGGGGATGACGAAACCTCTAGTGAGCCTCTGGCTCAGCAGCCCTGGGAGGGAGGGCTCAGTCTCCCAAGCAGAAGGCAGAGACTCGGACACATGCTGCTGGTGAGTGGGCGTGGCAGAGGTAGCAGATGATGGAGAGCAGGGGCAGAGACAGGTCTGGTAGCTAGTCTCTTCTCTGTGGGATAGAGAGGTTCTGAGATCTGGAGAGGACACAGTGGCCTCCCCAGGGACTAACTGTTGTCTGCTGGAGCTCATGACCTGCTACAGTTCCCTCTGGGATTTCACACTAGCTAGCAGCCCAGGGGCAGAAGCCAGCAAGTCAGCTCGGTCAGTAGCTGAGAGTCGGCCCTGGACTGTTGATTAGATGGACATGGGGATGTGGCCAAGAAGTTGGAAGAGGAGGCAGGCCCAGTAGCCCAAGCCCCAGAAGATGAAGAAAGGCTAGGAGTCTGTTTCACAGAGAAAAGAGGGACCCAGGGTGGGCTGGCCATGGTGACATTTGCTGGTGAGGCAGAATTAGCCAGAGGTGGTGTCAGCTGGGTACCGTCATGGTGGGCGGCCAGGAGAAAGTGACCAGATGCCTCACTACCCTCCAGTTACCTAAATTCCAGACGTGTGGCGCTACCTAAATTCCATATGTGCGGCGAAACCTAAATTCCAGACGTGTGGCGCTACCTAAATTCCACATATGCGGCGAAACCTAAATTCCAGACGTGTGGCGCTACCTAAATTCCACATATGCGGCGAAACCTAAATTCCAGACGTGTGGCGCTACCTAAATTCCACATATGCGGCGAAACCTAAATTCCAGACGTGTGGCGCTACCTAAATTCCATATGTGCGGTGAAACCTAAATTCCAGACGTGTGGCGCTACCTAAATTCCACATGTGCGGTGAAACCTAAATTCCAGACGTGTGGCGCTACCTAAATTCCACATGTGCGGCGAAACCTAAATTCCAGACGTGTGGCGCTACCTAAATTCCACATGTGCGGCGAAACCTAAATTCCAGATGTGTGGCGCTACCTAAATTCCACATGTGCGGCGCAACCTAAATTCCAGACGTGTGGCGCTACCTAAATTCTACATGTGCAGCGCAACCTAAATTCCAGATGTGTGGCTTGCGCCAAGACCGTTTCTTAGTATCCTAAAAGGGAACTGGGAGCAGCGAAACTTTGTGTTTGTTTCAACAGACGTGAAATGAGATACAGTCCCTTGTAGCTTCTTATCAACAACCAGGAATTTCTACAAGATACTTTGCTGCTGGGGCAGAGAAAGATGGGAATAAGAAGCATTTATTTAGTGCTTACTGTGTACCCTCTTCCCAGTGTGGCTACCAACAGTCTGCGTCTTGCCCATTACTCCTGGCCCACTGAGTGGACAGTGTGCCCTGTTGAAGGGGGATAAGCTATCATAGAAAATACAAGTGGTCTAGAGATAGCCTTGATACTAGCTGGGTACAGAAGCAGGTGGGTGTGTGACTCTGGTGTCCCCTGATGCTCCTGCTGAGCCAAAGCACAGATAGCTCAGTATGGCATCTCTAGGGAGAAAGGGAGAGCAGGACCGTGGGTGCCTGAGGACACAGTCACCCAGTCTTCGTGCCCTCTCTGGGATCACTATCCTTGTGCACTGAGGCCCAGATGCTAGTCTTGAAGAAAGAGGTCTTGGCTTCTAGAAGGAGGGGAGGAAGGCAATGGGGAGTCTGGGACAATCCCAGATGGGTGGGTGGCTGTTCCTGACTCTAACAGCTGGAATGCCCCCCTCAGAGCTCTTCAGCTCCCCCACCTCCAGGGTCCCTCCTTTCCCCTCTGTGTCTCTTCCAACATGGGCTTTTGTCAGGGCTTCTGACCCCTGAGCGGGCCACATGAGCAGGTGACTGCTGAGGCCTAGGACAGACCCCCAGTGCCTCCAGCCTCACAGCTCCACTGTGAAATGGGCAGCATTGGAGCTCCGTCATTGTCACATGAAGCCTGGCACCGTCTACTTGGACAGCAAATAGGTTTATTTTGGCTCATGAATCTGGAAGTTGAAGTTCAAGTTTAGGCAGCCTCGTTGTTTGGGTCTCTCTGAAGGGCATCGCAATGCAGAGGAGGCTGTAGCCAGCAAGAGAGCAGAGATTACCACAGGCCTGACTCCCACAGGCCCAGTTCTTAAAGGTCTGATAGTGCCCTCCCCCAACGCTGCCATCCTGAGTTCCCAGCCTTTAACACTTGGACTTTGGGGACACTGTCCATATTCAGACCAAAGCAGCACATCCCCCCTGGGATCTCTGTGGGTTTGTAAGTGGATCTAACATTTTAGACTCTGAACCCGCTGCCTGCTGCGCGCACAGTAAGTGCTCAATAAATAGTGAGCACTGCCTGAAGGGTTGAGTGTCACCCGGCAGATGTGACCTTTCACCTGTCATTCCACCCTGGGCTGGCTGCCCAACCCCAAACTGCTGGTGCAACCCTGATTCCAACCTTTCTGCAAACCTCGGTGAACACCTGTGTCCCTAGCATCATTCTGTGGATCTGACATGCCTCACTGCTAAGTCCCTCCTCTTCTCCATTGAGGCTTCAGGACTCCTGTGCCTGTTCCCACCCACAGGACAATCCTATGGATGATGGATGCCATCACTCCTTTGTGGTGTCCTCAGTCACGTATTCCTGTGTGGATGGCCAAAGAACCCAGCTCCAAGAGAGGCAGGTGGTGTCTGCCCTGCTGGTAGGGAACAGGCTGTGTGGATCCCCTGCCGCCTCCATGTCTGGGATCCTAAGACTATAAAAATCCCCCCACCCCCTGGTTTCACTATGTCCCCAAGGAGATTAAAGAAAGCAGAGAAGCAGAAGGTCTAGACAGGCGCTGTCGCGCTGAGCCCTGAGACCCGAACCCAAATTCTGCCTGCAGGATAACGCTCATCCTGCCCTGCCCCCGCCAGCCCTGCGGCTCCCACAAAGACACACGGTCTCACTGGCGTTGTTGGAGTTTTTCGTTCTTCTCTGGACACTGCCCTTCCCTCGGTGGTAGCAACAAGGCAAGCCCCCTGTAGAGCTCCCTGGCTGCCCTGGCCAAGGCCTGCCAGGGTGTCCTACTAATTGATGCTGCCTTCTTGGGACCGCTGCTGGCCCTGGAAGCAAAGGAAGCCACCCTGAGCCTGGGGTAGCACCTGTCAGGTAAAAGGAGACTAGAGCCAAGCCTACCAGGTGGTTGGTATTTCTGGCTGGGCTGCTGGTAAGTAGGGAACCTACCTAGGCCATGGCAAGCGGTTGACCCGCAGATTCCTCCACCCTGTCCTCCCCAACTGGAGGCAGACATAGTGATGGCTGCTGTCTTGGAGCAGGGGGTGGAAGTCACTTAGTGAGAATAGTAAAGGGATGAGGTGTCCATGACACCCCAAGACCAGCCCTTGACTTCCCTGGGCTGCAAGGGAAGACACTTCTTTGTGCCACTTTGTTTTTTTTTTTTTTTTTTTTTTTTTTTGGTTTTACAAGACAGGGTTTCTCTGTATTGTTTTGGAGGCTGTCGGCCCAGCCTGGCCTCGAACTCACAGAGATCCGCCTGCCACTTTGTTTTTTGTTTTTTTGCGTGCGGGGGTTGGGGGGCAGTATTTGCAGGCAAATTT